AGAATTATGTCTGTCATTCTTTGAAATACATATGTAGTGTGTTTTACCTGGTGTTATCAATAAATGAAAATCATATTTGTTCAATACTAGGGATGCACAGGATTAAAATGTTAACATGCGGAATAATATGCTGGTATATCATAAAAACTTATTTTATTTATTTCATTTTTTTTTGCAGTTTGAGCTTACCAAACCTGACACCAAATATTTTTACAGAGATCTACGAAAATATTTTAGCTTTTCGTTTTAGTAAATTCTTTGAAAGTGTTTTTGAAAATAAATGATTATATTTGAGATTTTATTCGTTTAAAAGTTAGCAGCTGTGATATCTGAAACATGCATTTACCTTTTTTATAACTTTTTAATGATTAAATGCATTTAAAAACTGCACAATATTGTTTTCATTGTTGTCTAGTATGTACGCAATACCTCATTCCTATAAACCTTCCCTCCCTAGTCTGCACTTTCCTTAAGAAGATTGGGACAAACATAGGCAAAAACAAAATTTAGGGTGAAAATGGACTCAAATTTTGTTCGTTGGCTCCAAAATTATGGTTCATTTCCAGAAATATTGAAGAATATAGGAAAAAAGTGCAGAAAAACTTGGTCGTGAAAAGGATCAATTAGTCCCTCTTGTGATGGGACACTGCTGTCAAAATGATGTATAACGAGTGTAGTCATTCTCTGTCTAGTATATACCGGTACATGTAGTAAAATCTCTCAAAACAAATAACAGACCAAAATAATTGAATGGCCTTTGAGTCATAGAATCACTTCGCCACTAGTGGACTCAATTAAGGGAATTTATTTGACAGTGTTTTGCTAAATCTGTAAAATGTAGGTAAATCTGCATACTTACTGATAGTTAAAGTGGATGGCGAGGAGGTTACTAACAGTGGTTAATGGCCTGTTCATGCATTAAGGGTTGAGGTTTTAGTAAAAGTTCTTGGCCCTAGGGTAAGTGTGAAATGTAGGTAAACGGCACCAGCAAGCTCAAATGTTATTTACTGTTTGTCAGGCTGAACAATTATTCTCACCTCTTGATTAAAATCAAAGAAACAACTCATGCGTGCTAAGCGCATTTGAGGCATGAAGTACAAATACCATATTTACTATATTAGAAGCACATTTTATTGAAACGCATCTTATTTTGACTTTTGTCGGGGGGGGGGGGTATAGAGGTAAACATATATTTGGTTGCTCAGGATTACCTTAAAGTTTATTTTGAGCTTTCACCAGCTGCTTGACCGGCATTCCACAGCAGCACACGCATAGCACACAGAAGAACATAGTATGGTGGTGCACATCTTAACATAGAACATTCTGTGATGTAGCACAGACACTTGTATTTAAAACAATTAACAAGCCATGCACAGCACAGTCCCAGTTAGTTATCAAACTTAGAATATATAATTTTGTTTATAGTAATACACCATAGTAATATAGTTTGAATGTAAACATAGAGACATGGATACAGATGCTGATCCTTGATTATGATGATTTCTAGCATCGCTGTCGATGAAGTCGAGTGGAGCTTATAGTATTACAGATTGTTCGTCGTCGTCAACTTTACATTTTCGACTTTTTCTTAAAAACCACAAACTGTATAGCTGTGAAACTTTCTAGGAAGGTACCTTGGGTGGGTCTCTCTCAGATTTGTTCAATTGTCTTATTTATAGCGAATATTTTTGTCATTTTTGGTCAAAAATGCTATTTTCGACTTCTTGAAAACCGCTAGCCCAAATGCTTTGATACTTAGTATGTAGGTACCTTGGATGGACCTCTCTCAGATTTGTTCATTTCATGATGATATCTTCATTTCTCTAATTTTGATGATTATTTTTGTCATTTTTGATAAAAAAAATTATATTGTCGACTTCTCCTTGAAAACTGCTAGTCTGATTGCTTTGATATTGTATATGTAGGTACATCAGGTGGACCTCTGTCAGATTTGTTGATTTTGTGACAATATCTTCAATTCTCTAATTTTGATGAATATTTTTGTAATTTTTGTTCAAAAACTTTATTTTCAACTTCTTGAAAACTGCTAATCCGATTGCTTTGTAACTTTATTTGTAGGTACCTTGGGTGAATCTCTGTCAGATTTGGGAATTTCATGATATCTTCAAATCTTTAATTTTAGTGAAATATTCTCTGCAACAAAATCAAGAAAGTTGGTGTCTTGCGATATTAAAGCAGCTACATGTAGCATTAAGTTTAAATTGCTTCTTAGTCATTGCTTTCAGAGCATGCATCACAAACAGTGGAGCTATATCAGACGACAGACTGCTAGTTTAACATTGAAGTGATCGACATTCAGTCATCTTGTTTCTGATCGTCAAACAAGTACTTGTTCATATTGGAAGATATTGCTCTAGAACAGCATTAATTAAAACAAAATGGTCACTGGTCTGCTATTTTGAATACATCTGTATATCTATAACATGATGTATAGTGAATGTACAAAATTTGAACACATTCTGAAAAACAAAATGACATGCAACAAGGTCCCATAATGTCCAATGTATGTACCAAGTTTGAACAAAATCCTTCTCTAAATTCTTGATTTTGATGATTTTTCAGCACAAATGAGGTTGCCATTTGGCCATTTTGAATCAGATAGTCAAACCAATATATCTGTACCGGGTATATCTATGACATGATCTATAATGAATATATAATCAGTAAAAGCATAGTAGATTTATGGCACTAGAACTGCATTCATTAAAACAAAATGACCACCAGTCGGCCAATCTGAAAAAACAGAATGTACCAAGTTTGATGATTTTTCAGTACAAAAATGGCCACCATTCGGCCATCTTGAATAAGATCGTGAAACAAATTGATGTGCATATGTATAATATGTATGTGAAGTTTGAATGTAATCGGGCCAGGCATGTCTAAGATATAGGTGAGTCCATAAGTCCCGTTTTCGGACTGCGTCCAAATGGGGACTTACAATGTATATTACATGTGCTGTATATGTTGCTATGGTGTACAGAATAAATTTAGAAAGAACAAGACAGGACAACTTGAAAAGTTGATATTCATCAAACAAATTTGCTTCTTATCAAATAAGTATATAGGCTGCATTAGATAGACGCCAGTTTTGCATGCAATTTCAATTTGCATGCAAAATTCAAACACAGCCGAATCCACATAAATGCTCAACAATATTTGGCCATTGGCTTACATTTTCTAACCCAGATTTCTTGCCTATTCCATAATTGATGTATATGGCACATACTACTTCATATGTCAAATGCTACAAATAGAATATAGCAGATAATATAATTTTAAACAATAGGTCAAAGGAGAAATATCTAATAGGCTGACGACATTTTGGAAAACAATCTTTTGATCCATCAGAGCTTTAGTAGCCAGTAAATTATGAAAATCTGTCAAATATTTATTTTTAACATGGGTGGGGGGATTTTATTGTTGCACTAGTATTAATTGAGGAACATATGCTTGTTCTTGTTAATTATTTTTTTCTTCACCTAAATTTTATCTGACAAATATATTACTCTAGATTATTGTTTTAGAGCAGATAGCAAGTACATCCATGGTTTGTAATTGTATTCATTCTTAAATTGAATTCTTATTCAGTAACTGTTATTTAGATTCTCAAGGGCGTAAGGTTGTACGAGTTATGCTATGGTTATTGTTTTTTCTAGTATAATTCAGCCTCGTAAAGTTTACAACATTTTACCCACAACAGTGAAGTTTGTGGAAACCTACTCCAACCTGTACCATTACGTATACCAATGCTCAATTGCCAATTCAAGACAGCCATGGAACAAAATATTCAACCTTACAATATATAAAATATTACTATATATAAAATACTATGATAGTACAAAAGACATAGACACATGTGCACATTCCTTTATTGCATGAGCCACTAGCCTGGAGTCCAGCTGTGTTAGAGTAAGGAAATAAAAAACACACTAATGTACACCGCAATTATTCGATAGTTGATATATACTGTATAAACTTGACTCCCTAGGTCAAGTAGAATAACCGGTACATCAATACACTGGTTTCAGAGAAGTAATTTGAACACCACCAAATATGTTATAATTCAATCCCTCCACCATTATGATCTTTCGAGATGTACAACAGTCTAGGCGAAATGTACGATGGAACGGATGCTGAAAAGAACATATATGTATTGTCAGTTCAATAAAAACATGGTTCTGCATATTTACTAATATTGCATGAACAATAACTTTTAATACAATATACAAAACGATTTCAATAACTATGATATGGTCTGTATGTCTCAATTCATGTACAGTTGCTATAATATTTTCGAGGCATTTAAAAAGATTTGACTAAAAATTTAAGAAATAAATTTCAATATTATTTGGAATTACCAGTTACTAGATTTGCTGATGAGCTTAATTTTGACTCGTTATTTACTGTAAAGAGGTTAATTATTCACTGGGTTTTAATTTAGCTTATTTTGCTGACTGGAAAAATGCGCTAAATTAAAACACAGTGAATATGTAAAATTTAGCATAGAACACATTATCTAAATGACGAAACCGTGAATTTAAAACCCACTGAATATGCCTGAAATTTAAACCCAGTGAAAATTAGTCATTTTACAGTAACCTATTTAACCAGATTTAGCAACCAGCAAGCGAGAGAGACAAAAATAACAGTGCAAGCATACATATTACAAAGTTCAAATAGAAACTGATAAGCAGGTAGCAGTTTAGCAATTTAGCTGTTAAGTCTTACCTTTTCCCAGCATGCATCAGATCAAATGCCTCATTGATTTTGTCCATCTTCATATTATGAGTGATAAACTCGTCCACTTAAGCTTACCAGCCAT